GAATGTAGAATTCCAGGGAAGGAAAACTCAGCACAGTGTTTTTATCCTAAAGTGTCTGTTTCAGAAATAAGCAGTATCTGTAACACAATGGCTACATAAATAGAAAAAAAAAAACCACAGATCATCCACTGTGTAAGTCCCATAGTTTAAGAGCTTAAGGTTTATTAGAATAACTTGATGGGGAAAGAAGGATTATTTTTTTCATGGTCTCTGACTCTGAACTCTGTCTTTGATTTATACACAGTGTGCCCCTCAAGGAAGGTGAATGTGTTGGAAAGATTATAACCTGAAATAGATTTGCTGATGCCTAACCATGAAGGCTAAGAATGAGAAATCTAAGCTATGCTCTCTGTGCTCAGTTTCTTCATTTGTAAAGTGAAAGGGTTTGGACTTGATGGCCCCTAAGGACCTTGACAGCTTTAAGTCTGTGATCCTCTGCACGCCTTCCCCCATTGTTCACTAAAACCTTTCGAACTCCAATGTGAGGCTGAATTGGTTATTTGTATAATTATCAGTACCCTATGGTGAATTAATTTCCCAGGGGTTGCTGTTAAGTCTGAGATTTTATGACTAGTGCATGGATTAATTCTTATTTCATGGAAATAGGATTTCTCTATGGCACAGACTTCTCTGCTGATACTGTTTAATCTCCACATCCTTCCAAACATCCAAATCAGCAGAGGACAATTTCACATTATCTTCCAGCTCTGATTTAGCTACTGCCACATTTTTAGAAGTAGGTGCACAAAGAAAAAAAATCTCCCCACCCCCAAGTGTTTTGTTTCTTTCTTGCAGAGTTTACAGAGTGTATACTGCTCTGGATAAGAGTACAACCCCCCTCTTGAAACCTTTCCAGAGCCTCAGACCAAAGAGTCTGTCACAGTTCAACAGGAAGCTCGTGTTCAGATAAAATATCAGCAAAAGGCTTTAGTAAAAATGGATTGGGGTGGTGGGAGCAGATGAACAAGATCATTTTGCTTTAAACAGTGCCTGACAGTCATGTTTTCTTAAAAAGATTCTTTATAAAAATGCTATAGCTTTATGCTATTCTCAACTTCAATTTTTAAAAATCCACATCTTTAATAAAGGCCATTTCAAAGTTCTTAGGAGTGGAGCAGACCTATTACATCACAGAGACTATTCATAAAAGATGGGGCCAAAATTAGCGACTGGACAATCCTCTCTGATATTCCTTGAGATAACTTACTTTTCCTGGATAACAACATTGGGCATCTTGAAACATGTAGCACGTTGTCCTTAACTTTATTATGTCTCAGTTTCCTTATCTGTACTGAAGCATCCGGGACTCAAACTTATGCTCAAATATAACTAAATATAGTCTTTACATACAAGTATCTTTAGAGGTAATTAGGTAGGTCAGTGGAAAGAGCATTGGGCAGAAAGACCTGAGTTCAAATCCTAGCTGTGGGACCTTGAGCAAGTCACATAATCTCTAGTTTGCCTCAGTTTTCTTAATTGTAAAATGGAGATAATAATAGAACATACCAAAATTTGTAAATTAGCATCCTTCCTTTCCTTTATCCCAACTATAATTCACACTGATGGGTCAGTCCTGAAAGGACAAGGTTCCATCTCTCCCTCAGGTTTATAGAGGGGTAGGGATGATTCTTCTATGTTGAGGAGGCTTGAGTGACCTTTCTAGTGTGTTTTCCCAGTATCAGTTGTAGCAAACTGGTATTAGATCGTATAGGAGTATGTTTACCAAGGTGATAGGACAAGGACGGAAGTGTACTCTCTCCTATACTACATTGGCCCCTGAAAAGAGTGAGCTCAAACTTAAAGACATTTCTTCAAAGCATTTGCCCCACCAAGTTCACTTCCCAAATGTAGCATAGCCAATGGATTAATCTCTTCTTCTGGTCGGACCTGGTATTTTGGCTTTGGGGTCAATCCACTAGCTGTTCTGATAGCCTAGGCTCAGCTCTCCACAAGCTGGTGGGAACTCCACCTCTGGTGGGTCTCCCAACCTTTAGAAACTCACAGTGTCATAGCTTAGGCTATTCTGTCTCCAATATTCCTTCACCCAAGTCGGGAAAAAATAGAAGAAGAAGTAAGTCTTTACATTAACGGGCCACATGTTGACCCCAAAGTTAGGCCACTAGCACAACTCTTCCCACCTGGAAGCTTACAGCAGTCATTGATTACTCATTCAAATGAAGCTAGACAGGAAAAAGAATTTTGTTCTGGCCAGTTAGGGCCAATTCCAGCTTGGCAGCCAATCCAATCACAAATCTTCTTCACCATGTGGGTTAGTGGACTAGAAATGGAATATCTGCTTATAGCCCAAAGTTGGGGATCAAGGCTTTGCCATCAGGCATACCTAGAAGCAGGCTTACATAGCCTCCCATTGTACAAAACAGGGAAAATAATACACGTGATTGAAGAACAGGATGCCTGCTGACCAACTCCCACCTTCCATAAACAGTGGCTGCAACATCGTCCTGGATACACCTCTTCCACTGCAGTTAGTGCTCTCCTTTCCATAATTATGTGCTCGTATGTTGGATACTCCCAGCAGAACATGAACACCTTAAGAGATTGTTTTCATCTTTGTCTCCCATACTCTAGCACACTGCCTTGCACATAATCAGTGACTCTTGAAGTTCATACACAGAGGATTATAAAAATGCTTATAATAGTCATGGAATAGAGCTTTTTTTTTTTTGGCGGGGGGGGGGCTTAAAGTTGCTGAAATGCTACATTTCAGAGAGGTTCCATGGATCAAGGAAGGAGTATTTGATAACAGTGAAGCACTGGATGGGCATCCAGAGATTTGCTAATTACATATATGCACACTTGGACAGACTGCTTCACTCTTATGGGGGTAGGGATATTAGTCTAGATAAATAATATGAGCCCTTACACCTCTTTAATCAATTTAAAGTGGGTTAAAATGGCTTCCAGTATCGTCCTTTTTTCCACTTATGCTGTATTCCTCTGAAAACTAAAGCTTAGGAAAACTGCTAAGAATTTATTCTTTTGAGATTTGACCTACAAGGGTCAGGTCTCAATAGGAAAAAGAAAAACCAAAAATTTAGTCAAGTTCCTTTATAATGCATGACCCAGATTTGTGGATCATTGAAAAATTAAGAAAATAAAAGGTTTATTTGGTCTTTAAATTGCTGTAGATGATTGCCATAGTCCTTATCATTTTATTGATAGAGACCTACTGAGTTCCAAAACATCCCCAAAGTAGCCAGTTCTTGTTACTGAATAGAAGTGACTATTTCTTTTAGATGGATACCCTCGACTCCCTTGGTGATGAGTTCAGTGGAATGGCCAGGTGCCCCTATGATGCCAAGCATGCCAATGTCGCCCTGTTTGCAGGTAAATGATCTGCCCTAAATTTGCTGGGATTTTTTTATGTATTATATTACATTTCATTTCATAATCTAAGCCTGGCAATATAAATCTCCTTTGGGGGTATTTGTGAATTCAGAGTTGCTCTTAGATTCCTAGGTGTCAACTGTAACTAATAGTGTCCTTGGTGATTAATTTGGAAATTACCCCTTTTCCTCTCTGTCACAATGATTCATTCCTCTGTGATTTTCAGACCAGATAGGTGCATAGCACACTGCCCTGTTTTGGCATAGAAGGTACTTATTCTTTCAGAGTACCACCTTCCACTGCTCCCCTCTGCAAATGCCTAGTACAGGTTTGTGCTCTCTAAGTGTGAAACTTTGTGGGTTGTCTGAAATGGACTGAGACTCTTCACTCAGGAGGATGTGGGGAATCCAAAAGGCATTAAGTCTTTGTACCAGAAGACTTCAGTCATAATAGCAAAAGCATGAAGAGGTCAAGGTGCAGTCCTAAGTCCATCAGAAATGATTATTAACAGTGGGGCCCGAAGAAGGCAATCTGGAAATAATACACAAGAAATCAAAAGTTTATGGAGTTCAGGAGCCATGTTGTTCCCACCCTTGATGTTAACCCCACCAAGTCTTGACAGATGGATTCTGCCAGTGGAGGACGCAAGAGTACTTCCCACCCTTGGATTGGGCCTCTTTCCATAGCTCAAGAGCTATTGATAATAAGCCATTGATTTCCATTTTATTTTTTTCTTAGAAATTTACTTAAGAATTCATTATCAGCTGTGTATGTGAGGTAGGTATAGAGAAAATTGTTGGTATGATAGTTATTGGCGGAGCATATGCTAGAATTGGCTATAATTTCCTTCACAAAAGCTAAAAGCCAGCACTGTGGTGTGTGTGTGGCGAGGAAAGGGGGAATGAGGGTTTTTAATATAAAGAAGGTTGGCTAACTCTTCCTTATTTATACTATTATCAGGACTCCCGAAGGGGCCTGATTCCCCAACACATACGTTGTAGAGGTGGGTTATATAAGAGAAAGAAAGCCTTCCCTGGGTCATCTTCTAGTCTAGGGCACAATATTACTGTGGAACAGTACTGTATGTGAATGAATACATGCAGTCACAGAGCCCTATGTGGAGATTTGGGCAGAAGCAAAGCCAATAGCAGAAATGCCCTGGGATCCTCTCAATTGCACAGCTCCTGTCAGCCCTCTAATATCTACAGGAACCTGCATGAACCAGTGGCAATGAAGGATGATGGCTACAACTGATTAGTTAATTGTGTGCCTGGTTTGAGCAGAGAAATTAGAAGGTATGTAGAAAGAGTATATCCTGTGTGCTACAGGGTAAGAAGAAGCAAGAAGGCATAGGGATAGGGAATTGGAGTTGGAGTCAGGAAGACCTGGGTTCAAATTCTACCTCAGATGTTTACTCTGTGACCCAGGGCAGTACACAAAACCCATGGGGATAGTGGACACAAACTTCAAGGTAGCCCAGGGTAACAGCTAACATAGATATGTGGCAAAGGCAACTCATAGCTGGTATTTCTTCTTTGTGGAGTTCTCATGAAGTTCACTGCAGGGCATGGTATCTTTGACAGGCAGCATCTCTGCTGATAAGCTGTGCTTGTCCCTTTGTAGGCCACAGCATCTCTTCCAGAGGAGCCAATTCGCTGGACTCTGGGCTTGCACCACCAGCTCCAGGCTCAGACTCAGGTGCAGCCCTTGGCTGGGGATTCTGCTGCTCTCTTTCAGAAAGAATAGAGATTCTTAGTTTAAGACTAACAAGTATGTCCCTTTCTGTGCCCTTAGGGCCTTGCCTGGGAGCCCTTGAAGGCTAAGAAAAAGATTTTCCTTTTCTTTTACCTAGTCTTCCTAGTTCAAGGCAAAATCCCTGTAGGGAGAGAGACCTCACTCTAACTTATGGTGGTCATCTAATACATTTCCTAAATCTTGGTAGGCTAGGCCAAAACCAGGCAATGACCTCTTGCTAAATAATTACCAAATAACTCTGGGGTTTAGGTTTCCCCAGTTTTCTTTCATTTTTTTTTTTAACTCTGAGCTTCTCTACTTGGTCTTGGCAAAGGAATAGCTAGGGAAAGGGTTTAGAGGTAACCTATGGTTTGGTGAACAAGTTCATTGTTTCTGCTGAAAATTTCGTGACTTTCTTGGCCTTTTAACATACTAATTAATTACTCAAAGCCTTGTATTCTTAAGGAGATAGAAATGAGTCACTAATACCTGAAAGGACCTCTCCCTACCTAGGTGTATAAGTAGCTCACATACAAAAGAACTTCCCCTACAAATTTGGCTAGGACTGAAAGGCGCTCCCCCTTAAACATGTTTGTGTACATATAATTACATGTGTATACATATACATATGTGTATATGTGATACTGTTACAGTAATTAGCTAGTGTTAAGTCTAGGGGCAATATAATGAAAGGCTCAGTAGGTCCCTCTTAAGCTTGATGGAGTTTATTTTATGTAAAAAATTATAAGTTTAGTTACAATCACTTTGAGCCTCCAATTAGGAAAATTCCTAACATCTAGGCAGAGACTAGACTTTCTACCTAACCTTACTTTTATATCTGTCTCCGATTAACCATTGACCTCTTTGTGGTAGAAGAAAAATTCAGTTTCCAGGAAACATCTAGTTAAAAAAAAAAGCCCTGAAGATTATATTATAGTGACTAGGAATCTGATAGGGACTTGGGGGAAGATCTGGCTTTTTCTTGGGATTTGCCATAGCCTAGGTCCTCCTCTCTGAGATGCCTATAGAGCCAATGACTCTCCTCAGTATCCCTCTTCTTTACTGCAGCTCAATCCTCCACTTTCTCAGAATCCTTTCACCCCTCCCCCCATTCTGAGATAACTTCTTCCTTTTATACAAATTACTTAGGATGTGGTCTAGTTGTTCACACACAATGGCTTTGATTGAAGCAGGTTTACAGGCCCTGTTCACACTCAGTTCTGATCATTTGATTCAGTCAAAAAGTATTTTTCCTATTCAAGGCACCATAGCCAAATGGTGGTGGTTTCAACCCTGCCCTTATGTATGCACACACTTATATGCATGTGTATGCATAACAGTGGAACATATAGAAGGCAATCTGGAAGTACTGCAAAGAAAGTCAAGATTTTGTGGAATGCATAGAGCAGTGTCTCCCAAAACCTCATATTAGGCCCCCACCCACCCACCCAACACACACCCACAGCCTTGGCAAATGGCTTCTGCTAGTGGAGGATGCCAAAGCAGTTCCTAACATTGTGTTGGGCCTCTTTCCATAGCTCAAGAGCTATGGACAACAAACCAGTGATTTTCATTTCAGTCTATGCAAATATGTGTGCAGATGTACATCATGGTATCTAGGTAATCATGGTTTCCCACCTTTACTGACAACACCAGCAAAAAGTCTCTAAAACAAAAACTAACAGGTAGAAATTCTTTGAGTCTTTTGACTCAAAGTCAGTGTGTCTCATGTGCTAAATGTGGAGAGACTCATTGCCAGAAGGCTGCCGAGCTGATGAATTTTTTGGGCCACAGCAACTCATGAAGTACTATCTACTAAGGGGGAAGGGGTTGCAATTTTCAAGGGCCACTTTGATGTAATCAAAAGTATTAAAGTGTATAGCTAGATAGATCTAGCTCATTAGTATTTCTTATTTGTGAATGGCCTCACAGGCCCTACTCAAGTTCACAGAATTATTTAGGGCAACTCTGAACCAATTAAAATGTCAGTGCTTTTTGAAAAAGGGCACATAGCAAAGCAAAGCTTTTGCTTTTTACCTGAACTAAAGCTGAAGAAGCAAAATGATGTAGGTAATGGAAGATTTGTTCTAATGATTTGTGGGAGCTATTTTTAAACAATGGACTATACTGAGGAATGCAAAATAAATGTGCAATTTCTTAATGGAAAATAAACCATGCAATTATTTTGCCATTTTATTGCTGAAAGAATATAACCCATGTTTTAAAATACATCAACAAAATGAGTTTCTATTTTTAAATAAACTTAATTTAGGCAACTAGTTGGAACAGTGGCTGTGTTTGTGGACTTGGAATCAGGAAGACCTGAATTCAAATCCTGCCTTAGATGCTTCCTAGCTGCTTGACTCTGGGCAAATCACAAAACCTCTGTGAACCTCAGTTTATTCATCCATAAAATGCTACTGCATGAGCTACTGCATGACGTTGTTGTAAAGACCAAATAAAATGATATATGTTTGTTTTACAAACCTTAAAGTGCTATGTAAATGTTAGCATCATCATGTAAATGATGTCCATGATGTACATGTAAATGTCATCATCTTCATCATCATCATCATCATCATCATCATTTCTGTTTGTCCTAATAGAATTTGGTGATTGATAGCTGTGTAATGTGATTATTCTTGTGAGTAAGCAACAAGTGTTTAAGTGCTTTGTATGTGTTGAGCACTGTGCTAAGCACTAGGGGTACAAATAGAAAAGCAAAACTGTTCCCACTCTCAAGAGACTCAGATTCTTATTGGAACAGACAACACATCTAGGAGAGCTCATCCATAGGGCAGATGGAAAGGCCCGGTGATCCTTAGCAACTGGGATCTAAGAAAGCTGACTGAAAGTTAGTAAATCACATTATCTCCTTTGGCATATTTACCCCCTTGACATTATCCCCTACTTTCTTTCAGTCTCTGATAAAGAGGTGACCCTTGTCATCAAGGCCACTCCCTCTATTTGACCTTATCCCTTCCCATTTTCTCCAGTAGATTGCCCCCTCATGTCATTACCTACGTTTTTCAGCTTTTATCTGTCTATTGGTTCCTTTCCTGCTTCCTACAAACATTTCTAGTTCTCTATCTAAACAAAACAAAATGAACAAACAAACCAAAAAAAACCAACTAAACCCGATAATCCCATCTAGATATCATTCTATTTTCTCTCTTCTTTTTTCACAGCCAAACTCCTAGGAAAAATTAGTCTACCCTAGTGTCTCCACTTCCTTTCCTCATTCTTTCTCATCTAAACTCTATACAATCTGACTTCTAGCTATGGGTGTGCTCCCAAAGCTACGTCCTGTGTCTCTGCACTTTGCTTACCCACTATACTCTCTCTTTGCTGACATCCTATCTCATGGGTTGAATTATCATCATTTCTATGTAAAGGATTTTCAGATTTCTATCAATCCAACCCTAATCTCTCTCCAGAGCTCCAGTACCACATGCCTACTGGACATTTTGATTATATATCCTATAAGCATTTCAAAATCAACATATCCAAAGCAGACTTCATTATTTTTTCCCTCAAACCCACCTGTCTATTGAAATTCCCCATTATTGTCAAGAGTACTGCCATCTTTCCAGTCACTCAGCTTTGCAATCTTAGTGTCATCTTTAACTCTTCACTTTCACTTGCTCTACATATCCAGTCAGTTGTCAAATATTATCATTTTTGTCTCTACAACATCTGTCAAATACATTTCCTTCTCTCCATTCACACAACTACCATGCTAGCTCAGGCCCTCGTCACCTCTCACACAGACTATAGAGAGATTTAGTCTCTCTACCTCAGACCCCTCCCCACTCCAACACATTCTCCACAAAGCCACTATAGTCATTTTCTTGAATCGGCTTTGACCACTTCATTTCCCTATTCAATAAACTCCAGTAGTTCCCTATTCCCTCTGTGATCAAATATAGTAGATAAATAGAAATAGAGACAGATAGATTAGCTAGATAGAAACAGAGACAGGCATAGATAGATAGATAGACAGACCGACAGACAGAGAGATAGAGAGATATGAGCTAAGTGGAACCAGCAATGGATAGAATGTAGGATTTAGAGTTAAGAAGATAAATTCAAATTCTACCTTAGACATTTATTAGCTAGATTTCCCTGAGTAAATCATTTAACTTTTCTCAGCCCCAGTTTCTTTATCAGTAAAGTAGGGATAATAATAGAACCTACCTCACAGGGTTGTTGTGAGGGTCAGCTGAGATATGTGAAATGCTTTGTAAACCTTAAAATGCTATAGAAAGGCTTGACTTCGGGATGCTATGGAAACATTGGGGCTTCCTTACCTCCTCAGGACAGCCCATTAAAAATCAGAAACAGGTTTCCCATCTGTTAGACTCTTCACTGCAAGCTGCAGCAGTATTTATATTTATATGTATACATAAAACTTACATATATATGAGTATGTATATATACAGACATATACAGACATGCACATGAACACATGAACACATACATATATGTGCATGCTCCCTGTTAGAGCACAAGCTGGTTAAGGTCAGGGACAGTATGCCTTATATCTTTATATCTTCAGAGTTTAGCACAGTGCTTCACACATGGTAGACACTCTGGAAGGGCTTATTGATTAACTGATCTCTTTCCCACACCTTCTTCCACTTCACTTACTTATTCAGGTTAAAGGCTGCTCTACTAATCGCATCTGTACTTGTAATTATGGGTGATACAAATGACCTCTTCTTCCAACTTCAATCATGTCTAACTGCCTGCTATTGTTGGGCCCAAAGTAGTACCCAAGGAAACTGGACTTCAGGGTATCATTTAAGTCCCTTCTAATCAAGTGGATCAAGGAAAATTTGTCATTTGCCCTTCTATTCCAGAGCAACTGCTTAGAGATTACCAGGATTTTTTTTTAAAGCTTAATCTCACATCATCCCAATCTATAAGGGTAAATTTGGGGGTTTCTCTGTTCACAGGCTTCTGGATTATCCCAGTGTTCCTATCTCATTTACCT